GTTTATGCCTGCCTAAGAAAATTATTTACTTCAACATAATGAAAACTTGTACATTATTTTGTAATAGACTTTTTTTGTTATGATCATGAAACCAAATATAATTTAAAAACAGACCTTACGATTTCTGCATCTATTTTGACTCGTATCGTTTCTCACTCTTATCAAATTACAGTTGATTTATGCAACTCACTGCCCGAGACCAAGAGCAGTGATAATGCTAAGGTTTAATAAATTTAAAATAACAAACATTTTGAATATGGTTTGGTTTTAGTTTTATATCAATTGTTATTAAAAACTGTTTAACCACACAATATTCGAGGCGCGTTGGGTTCCACACATTTTGGCGCGCCCCTATTCTATAGCAGTGTCATATTATCATGTTCCTTAAAGGAAACTGTCAATCGCTCCCAAGAGACCGCCCAATATCGCACCCGTAGCAGCGCCAATTGCACCGCCTCCAGCTCGAAATATGTTACGACCCACGTGTTTACCAACATCACTGCCATCTTTTACACCTTGGCCGATACGATAAACAAGTCTACTATTCCTGGGATTGGAGCAAATGCAAGGCTCTGTAGACGAACTTGCACTGAACGCGCCGGTTTTCAATTCCTACGATTATATAAAAATATAATTTAAACAATAAAGTTGAAACGATCGGAATTAATCTTACATGTGATTAACGAAAAACGGTTTTTCCAGCCTTTTCAATTGAGGGATTACAATATCCAGAGGCGACTTGACCATAATTATTCTCGTTTATACCTTGTGCTGAAACGTGCATAATCTCAATTAGCATTAGATTACCTAGTTTTTATACACTATTATTATTTTTCAGTCGAGATTTGTCTCAATATATCTTAAAGCGTTGTTTCTAGTGATATTTAAGATAGCAATTAGTTCTTGACTTACATTCCTTGATGCAGCGTCCTCCGATTATTATATATTCATGTGTTAGGTCTTTATTTGGTGCTGATTCTTCTGTGCCATTCTCGAAAATTACTATCACATTTTTGTATCGATTACCAATGCACTGTAGTATATCATTTAAATCTACATATTGCTCAGTGCCCTCGGCATCCAGCAGTTTTATTTTGTTTTTACCTGCTTTTGAAACAATTGGATGTGTTTATTATTATATAATTA